CAGGCTCAGCTGAGCACTGTTTGCCAGCATGTATTATCCTGGATTTCCCAGAATGCAGATGAGAGTTTGGAGGCAGATAACGTCCTTCCACAGCAATCTGAAGAAGCAGGAATGAAATAGGAAGAGAGAAAATAAACAAACGAAAAACCACTAAACCAAACTGGTCACTATCTGAAGCAACTGGTCCTTGATCCTGGAGAAATTTTTAAGAGCCTTTGAAATGCACTCCAGAACTGTCTGAGTGGATGCAAAGCAGAAACACTTAGCAATCACCTTCATGTTCACAGGTGGTCCAGGGACAGTGGTGGACAACACACACATGAGCGCTGAGCGCTGAGTGGCACACACCCGGGAAGCTCCCGTGCAGGCTGCTGAACGGCTTTGTCAAGTCATGACTGAAAAGCTGTAGAACAGTTACTTACTCACTCTGATGGCAGCTAAAATAAAGAGGCAAGTAAACTGAGGTGGGACAGACAGAGATACAGACAGAGAGCTGAACTGGTGGATTCCCATAGCTGTCAGGTTCTCTCACACACACTCGTGTGGTGGAAATGACTGACCCGAGTTTGTAATCCTCCAATCTAAATCACTAGTTCAGTTCACATTCCTGGATTGCACACTCACTCATTCTGTTCTCTACATGCTATCTGCATTAGAATACTCCAGAGAATATGCACACAGTTCCAAATGTGTAAGCCTAAGTCTTACAGGACCAAGAAGTTCTGGTTTGCTACAGCATAGTAGAAAAGCTATAGCTCCTATACATTTCAACAAGCTAGAAAAAAAGATTTGAATGTTTTGTCAAGGTGAAATAGTAATTATTTGAATACACAGATATACTTAACTGGACATAAACATTACAGAGTGTGTACATGCATGGAAGCATTTTGATATACTAATCATTTCAACAATTTTTATTCTTTTAATTTTCAGTCACAAATAAATTTAATTTGAGACTGGGACTGTAATGCTACCCCTAGGTCAATCATCAGCACCAGAAAAATCACTTTGTATCAATTTTTAAAATCCTAACCCTTGACAATTTCCTACAAACTCATTCTTCCCTTGGTTTTTAAGCAGGTTGATGGTTCCCAGGTTCCTCAACTGTTGAAGCAAATTTGTTGCTTATCTGTTGCAATATAGCAAATTACTGCAAAACTAGTGACTTGAAAGAACAGTTTCTGATGCACCATTGGTTGCACGAAGAGCTCAGAGGAGCATAGCTCCTCCCATAGAGGTTGTAGTTGAGCTGTGGACCATAGCCATCAAGGTTCAGGAGAGTGGGAAGGTGTGACTTCCAAACTGGCCAGTCCCACAGAATTTGCAAGAACCTCAGTTCTAGATGGAGCTGTTGGTAGGGGTCCTCAATGATCTGCATGAGAAACTCTTCCTTGGGATGCTTTCTTTACAGGAAGTGATCCAAGAGGGAGCCATTGAGGCACAAGCCTTGTACAATCCTGCCTCAGTCACAGACCATCTCTTCTGCCACCTTCCAGTGACTGCACAGACCATGTCTGTCACATTAGGGGAGGGATTACAAAAGGCAGTGAACACCAGAAAGTGAAGAGAATGAGAGGTGGCCATGGAGACCCCTCCTCATTACAACGAGTCCTGGAATAATCTTGTGGGTTCATTCAGTGGCTCCCCAAGTCCTGTTTATTTATTTCTATTATACAGTCCCGACTTTGTCCATTTTTCTCTGTCCTTGGTGTCATGGCCCCAATCAAACGCCCATCATATTCTGCTTGAACTCTTCATAGATATTTCTTGTGTCTACTTTGGCTTTTTTTCTGACTTGTTGTTAATGGTGTATCCAGATGAAGTATGCTTTGGAAACATAACACATATGTCACTCTGGAGATTCCCAATTATTCCACGGCACCCTTAGAATGAAATGCAAACCTCTTAATAAAACTTATGGGACCCTGTGTCTCTGATTTGACCTCTTTGTTTTCCCCTAATTACTATGGTACAGAATTAATTGAATCATTTGCTCAAATGTAGACACACACACACACACACACACACACACACACACACCACACCACACCACACTATGCACACCACATACATGCATATAACATACACCACACTATTCACACCACTTATGCACTTATGCACAGATACACACACCATACCATACCACATGCATGTACATAATACACAAACACTGACTACACTATACATATTACATAGACACATATAACATGCACACCACACTATACACACCACATGAACACATACATATACCACATTATACAAATCATACACACAATATTATACATACCACATAGATATATATAACACACATACACCATTATACATACCACATAGACACATATATCACAGGCACACCACACTATACACCCCACACAGACACACATAACATGCACCACACCATGCAATCGTGTAGACACACACTCATCCTATTTATCAGTTGCTATCCCAACCACTCTCTTTCTTTGTCCAACTTTGACTACCTTTCAAATATCACATGAAATTTCTGAAAATTTCCTAGCTCTTCAATCAAAACTATGTCCATGCGCTTTCTCTAGTGCTCTAGCTGTTGATACTTTGTTATACTCTGTGTGTCTACCCCATCCAATCACAGCTGTTGATACACACACACACACACACACACACACACACACACACACACACACACGGTGATATTTTGTGTATGCTCTAACAAATAAAACTTGTCTGAAGATCAGAGGACAAAGCCAGCCACTTAGTTAGTCATAGAGGCCAGGCAGTGGTGGCACACACCTTTAATCCCAGAACTCAAGAGGCAGAGGCAGAGACAGAGGGATCTCTGTGGGTTCAAGGACACCCTGGGCTACACAAGATTGATCCAGTCTAAAAGAGAAACAGAGCCAGGCAGCGGTGGCACACACCTTTGATCTAAGAACTTGAGATCTCACCCCTTTAATCCCAGCACTAGGGAGGTGGAGACAGGAAGTGATATGGCTGGGCAGAGAGAGGAATATAAGGTGGGAGGAGACAGGAGCTCAGCCCTTTCAGGCTGAGGATTCATGGAGGTGAGATCTAGTGGCTGGCTGTTCTGCTTCTGATCTTTCAGCATTTACCCCTATATCTGACTCTGGGTTGTTATTAAGACTAGTATTCATGCTGCACGGATAGCCACACAATACCACAACATATCTGTTAATTAGACAGTTAGTGAATAAATGAAGGCTACACCGAAGGAAGTCTTTCTATTATTATAGTTTTAAATAAAAAAATAATACTGTCTCTATATCAAAGTTTCCCACAAGTTCTGGATGACTGCTGAGCAAAGAATGAAGAGGAATCTACTAAGGGAAATAAAATATGGGTCACTGTCCACATTGCTATAAACTTAGTGGGATGAGATACAAATAAGCAGAAAGATAACAAACAGAGCAACAAACAAAAAATTATTTCAAACGAGGCCAACAGAGCACATGAAGCATGTTGTTACAAGTGAAAAATGCCAGCGTGGAGTTGCAATACAGTTCAGGAGTTCAAGTCAAAGTGAAGAATAAACGACTTTGCATGTATTGCTTTGCTTTCCAGGTCATTAATCCACTGACAGTGACAACAACATAAAGATAGAGCTCCGTCTCTGAAAAGCTCATTGCTCATCTGCTCTGAACACGATTAATCAAATGTGATTGTTTGATACAAAACAAGCTTTCTTCTTCCTAATGGCATCAAGCTGACGCTTACTAGACAGAGGGAACCAAGCATTTGCACATGCTCATTCTGGAGGAGGTCATGTGTTCAGATGAATGGTTTTTAATACTTAGCCAAGCTTTAGGTTGAGTATGTGTGTGTGCGAGTGTGTTGGTGCACATGTGTCGGCATGTACTGAAGGCCAAAGAGCAACCTTGGGTAGCCTTCCCTAGGAGCTGTCCACCTTGATTTCTTGAGACAGTGTCTCTCACTGGCTAGGATCTTGCCACGTAGGCTAAGCTGGCTGGCCAGTGAGCCCCATGATCCTCCTGTCTCCAGTCCCAGTGATGGGGTTACAGGCATACATCACGTCACCATGCCTAGCTTTTTTATGTGGCTTCTGCAGGTGGAGCTCAGGTCCCTATGCAACAAGCAAGTACTTGACTGATACAGGCCTCTCCCTAGCCCCAAAGCTGCAGGTTTAAAAACTATTTCTCCTCTCCTGTTATCACTACCCTTGGTACATGTATACTTGTATTCAGCACTGTGTAACTTTGGCTCTCTTTCCAGGAAAGCCAAGGAATGATTTTTATTTTCTTCAAAACTCAGTTGTCCAGTACCCAACGTCTACAAATCAATGACAGTTAAATATATTAATGCCTCCTTCTGTCTTTTCGCTCTTCTTTTTTGTCCTGTAACCAACCTGGGGTGTTTTAACAAATTTAATGACCATTTTCAAATCCTTTTCTGCACACTGTGCTACTTCTATGAACTTTTAACCAACGTGTCTGATGAAGGGAGAAAACTGATTGCTTTAAACATGGAAGGAACAGCTCTGCAGTTTCAAATGAACAATCAAAAGCAATTTCTGCTTCCACTGCTGCAGCAGGAACTGGAGCCTCTGGGAGAACGTGGGCATTCAGGGCTTCCTTCACTTTTAGCTTAAAGAAACGAGCTTTGAAAATTTACCTGTCAGTGGTCAGTTGAGACCTAACTCCTTGGAATTAACTTATACTTTCTTAGAAGGTGATGAAAGTCATAGAAAAAGGAAAATGAATTCCAGCACTTAGCCATACAAAACCTCCCTTGAAGCTCTCATGGAACCTGTGAGGCTGGTCTGGCCTCATGAGCCAGTTTCTTGAGTAAATGAAAATATTAAAAAAGAAAAACCAACCCTATATGTCATTTGCATTGAGTTACAAATACTTCATAGCACAGCTTCTCAATCTGTGGGTCTTGACCCCTCTGGGAGTTGCAGATCACATGTCCTATATATCAGATATTTGCATTAGGATTCATAACAGTAGTAAAACTACAGTTATGAAGTAGCAACAAAATAATTTGATGGGTGGGGGTCAGCACACCATGGGGAACTGTGTTAAAGGGTCACACATTAGGAAGCTTGAGGATCTCTGCTCATAGCAACATGTTGGTGCTCCAAAATGATTTTTTCATCCATTTCAGGACCACTGATAGAATGAGAAGTTCAAAAAATATGAAAGGAGGGTTGTTGATAGAATACACATGTTACTATGGTGATATTTTTGGAGCATAGAGTTTGCCAGGAACATGGTGTAATTCTGGCTAATTTCAGCTCAAATTAAATGCTGTTGTGACAAAACATGAATGTCTCTAGGTCACATCAGTGTGATTTTCCCTGGGAAATTAGATTATTCTTCATTGAAAACACCAGTTACAGGCATGACCACACAGCTTCATAAATCTTCCTGATGCAAGACATGGGAAATGAGCCCTTGTAATGCAACCATTATTAAGAAGTGTTCTAAATTCTCAAGATACCACTTTGCACAGATCCACCCTCCCAATTGCTACACTGACAAGTCCCTATCAGAGCTCCAGTTTCGAGCTGATGAGGCATGCCTGCCTCACAGGGAGCAAGCCTGGTGGATTTTGGACCACAACTCTCCAGAAGCAAGTGTGTACTAGAGGCAAGTGTTTGAAGGGAAAAACCTCAGCTCTTTCCACAGATACTCTCCTCAATGGCTTCTGTTTCACATGGCATCATAGGCTAGATTTTGTTAAGTTTTGCTTAATTTAATGTTTGTGTGGATTTTCCAAGAGCATTTGGGATTCAGGTTCATTGTCTCTGTCATGTAGAGGGATGAAACAGACGTCCCCCCCCCCATATGCCATTGGGTGTGTGTAGGTACCTGGTATTAACCTCAATGCACATACTCGATGTCAACAGATAGGACTTCTAGGAGTTTGGAAAGAGATGGAATGTCCATTCAATTGACAGTTTATAGTTAGCTTCCAAATATGGAATTCTCAGGTTGCTTCTTGTGATTTTCAGCTGTGGACTAGCCTGGTACTCCCAACCTTCTTTGAAATGAGCATGTGATGATAACGGTGTGAGGAAGTGGGTGTTGATGCATAAGGTGTCTGAAGCTGAGGCAGGCTTCTGGAGCATCTGGACATACCCTGTTAACATGAAGATGGACAGCCAGGGTTTCAGAACCTCCACAGCTGTGACCCGAGTGTGCAGAGTTGGAGGAAACACTGTGTCATGGCTATCTGACCCCATGTCTCCCAAAAATGTCACAGCTCTTCTGAAATTTGATTAAATCACTCGTATCAACTTAAACAATACAGCTTAGAACAGCATCCAACCCCATGAGAACAATGTGGTAAATTTGTTCAGTATTTGCCTTTCAGTGCCTACAAATTATAGCTCCCGGTTAAGCACTTAGTGTCAAATCTCTTTAAACAGTATCCACAAGAAAGTACTAAACAGCAACAGAGCAAACATTTCAATTCAGCTTGATATCAATAATAATCTCAAAATTGTAGGTTACATCACAACCTTCTAATAATTTTCCAGGATCCAAAAAAATTAATATGTTCCCAAGAATCTGAATGTGAGGGATATATAAAACTCACTATAGAAATAATATAAGATATTGATTAGGTATCTGACCCCAAAATATGATATAACTTTAATATGAAAACAATCATCATATTTCTTGGAATAGAAAAAGACATTTTGACCACATTCATTTTCTTTTCTTAAATATTTATTTTATTGTTTTTAAATTTGTGTGTGTGTGTGTGTGTGTGTGTGTGTGTGTGTGTGTAGGAGTCTGTGGAGGCCAGAGGTATCAGATCCCCTGGAACTAGAGTTACATGTGATTGTGAGCCTCCTGATATGTATGGGTTCTGGGAAGAAAACTCAGGTCTTCTGTAAGAGCAGCAAGTGCTCTTAATGGGTGAGCCATCTCTTGAGACCCTCTCTGTCCAGCAGTTCAGTCTGTGTGTGATATCCTAGCAGTCTCTCTCTCTCTCATAAACACAGAGTATGTTCAGTTTCTGCCTGTTGTGTGCACTTGTCTAGGCTTTTGACTCACACTTACACATGTTTCTTTTATGGAAAAGTACTTTCTGAGCAGAATTCATGGAAACACGGACTCTGGACATATATATTTTGTAGAATTGAGAACTTGCAAGCTTCACTGCATCTCAATATCATTCTCCTCTGTCAGCTCTCGCTGCTATAGATTCAAGTTGGATTTCAAACTGAGTCGATTCGGTACAGTCAATTCCACAGTTTTCAATTTCCTGACTGATGTGGAAGCCAATGCTTGAAAAACAGTCTCATTCCAAAGTGAAAAATCAAAGCCTGTTCCCAAGAATCTTATAAACAGATTCATTTTCCTCCAAAGACATTTATCTGCAACTGCCTAGACCAGAGACTCAAAACTTCGCAGCTACTCCACAAAGCTGGGAAGTGGCAGATGAAGAAGAGCCAAGCTGAAATCTCCCTCCAAATCTCCCACGCAACCCCACAGTATAAGGAGAAATCGTAGGAAAAAACTCATTTAATCTCACCATTTTCAAGACAGGGAACCCAAGAGGGGAAGCCGATGACTCTTCAGCTCGTCGGCAGCTCTAGGACAGGAACCATGGCATTCTTCATTCCAGTCTGGCTGCTAATTCTCAACTGAAAGAAAAAAATGATTCAGTTCAGTGAAATGATTCAGGAAAATCGCCCTTCAGTCTCCCCTTCACTCACTGCTTCCTCAATACTCCTCTAGTAAGAAAAGATAATAAAATACCTCTAAAATTTCATCAGAATAAATAAATAGTATTCTAGAAAATGCACTTAGTCAAAGACACACCGAAGAATTCCAATATCAACAGCTTGTTAGATGATGACTAGAGGTTTTTAATTAAAAATGATGTCCACAGGGCCAGAGGATAACTTCCTGGGGTGGCCTCTCCTACAGTGTGGGCCCTGGGGATTACACTAAGGTCATCAGACTTGAAGGCAAGAGCCTTTACCTTGGAAATGGAGTTTGTATCCCCAAAAACCATGGCCCCTGACCTTTTGGAAGGAGATTTAAGCACATTCTAAGCTCCTTTTGAAACCCTCTTCTCTGCTTTCTGGATCATTTGATGCTTAGATCCTCTCCTATGTAAGGTTTCTGGCTACACTTTCTCATCCCCTTTCCTAAAAATGAAACCTGAACATGGCTCCACAGATTCCTAACTTAAGCTGGTATTTTACAACCCCACATCTCGTATAATAATACCCTAAACATGGCGTTCCACATACCACTCTTCCCCCTCCAACACGAGAATTGTCATAGTTCCTTGCTGCTTTTCAAGGCAAGTCCAAACGTTTGAGGCTGGATTTGCTGCTCTTCATGGATTGGCTTCACTTAGCAGATCGGAGATTCCACTGCTTTTCAATTTTTAAGATTCCTGAGGTGGAGCCCATCCTTCACTATCCTTCACTAAACGTTTTCTCATTTCTCTGTCTTGGTTTTCACATTCAAGTTCAGTGGAAGACTATGCCTCTAGCTATGGCTGTAGATACCTCACAAACATTCCCAGACTGCATAGCTTCCTTGAGGTTTTTGAGATTGAAGTTGAACTAAAACCGCTCCCCTCACTAAGAATTCCAGCATCAGTCATACTACTGGCAGATATGGATGTCCTAGAAGCATCATCTAGACTGGAACTTGCCTATTGCACACATCCTTCTCTTTGCCTAAAATACACATCCCCTTTCTTTGCCCACAGCACACACACACTTCTGGTTGACTAGTGCACACACTTTCTCCTTGCCTGCAGTAAACTGCAAACACTCTACCTTGCCTACAGGACACAACCTTCTCCTTGTCTACAAAACACACCCTACGTTTTGCCTACATCATATACACTTCTTGTTTATGATGCAAACCCATCTACTTGAACAAAGAATGCACCTTCTCCTTCTTCAAAGCACAAACCCTTTTCCTTGATAGAGTACACACCCTTCTCTTTGCCCACAGCTCACGCCTTTCTCCTTGTCTACATTATGCGCCCTTCTCCTTGCCTACAGTACAAATCCTTCTCTTTGCTTACAGCAACACTCTTCCTTGCCTATAGCCCACATCCTTCTTCTTGTCTGCAATACACACTCTTCTTTCCTACAGAACTCAACCTTTTCTTGCCTACTGAACACAAGTACATACAGCTCATTAGTTTCCACAATGCCAATTAGCAAGTGTATCTTAAATTAAATATTTGTATACATTTATATTGATAACATATCATTATTTTATTTGGCTCTCATATCTATGAGGTTGATCAAGGAATTGTTTACATATTTATATATGGATAAAGAAATTGAAGGCAAAGAAACATTATGGAGTGAAAAGATTAGTATTTTTCCTTGCCAACTCTAATATTAAAAAGTCTACAATAACTTATTTTCCTGTTTCCTAAGTGAAATATTTATTGCTCTCTAAAAGTAAGATATTAGGGACAAGGGAGCCTGAGCTCTTTCAGGGTCTCATGATGTTTATCTACTTGGCTTCAACTTAGTGGGATGCCAAAGATTTTTTTCCTGCAGTGAAAATGTGTAGAGCGTCTGTGTACTTAGCATCCTACATCCTGTCCAGTTCCAGAGACATGCGATTTAAGTATTCTTAACTTTGCTTTCTGCTGCATGTGTGTACACACTTGTCTACCAAAGAACAGGCTCTCTCATGTAGAATTCATCACATGGGAAGAGGTGAAGGGGAGGAGAGGATGGGCAGAGGAAGGGTGTGGTGGTTTGACAGAAAATGACCCCCAAGGGTGTGGCACTACTAGGGAATGTGGCCTTGTTGGAGTAGGTGTCATCTTATTGGAGCAAGTATGTCACTGTGGAGGCAGGCTTTGAGGTCTCATATGTGCTCAGGCCATGCCCAGTGAGGCATTCATAGCCTGCTCATCTCTCATTAGACCTGACCATCCAACACTGACATGCCAGGGATGAGGTTTTCCATGTTCACCTTTTTGGAGATTTATTGAAACTACAGGAGACATGTCATCCTAGTAAGTATTGGGGTTTGCAATGTATTCAAGAATGGACTGTTGGCCGGGCAGTGGTGGCACACACTTTTAATCCCAGCACTTGGGAGGCAGAGCCAGATGGATCTCTGTGAGTTCAAGATCAGCTTGGTCTACAGAGTTCCAGGACAGGCACCAAAACAACACAGAGAAACCCTGTCTTGAACAAAATAAAACAAAACAGAGCAAAACAAAACAAAACAAAGCAAAACACAACAACAACAAAAGAATGGACTGTTATTTCAGTTTGTCCTTCCTACAAACTGCCTATCTCTATCACAAGGTCAACTTAAGTCAAGAGCATTTGACAAATTCATAATAAGTAAGTTATTTTTTGAAACAGAATCTCACATAGCCCAGGCTGACCTTGAACTCCTGATCTTAGCTCAAGCCTTCCAAGTGATGGGATTACAGGCATGAGGCACCATGCCCAGGACAGATTATTTTTGGAGGAAACGTTTCTTAATGAAATGGTTACTCTGCTGCTCAGTGTTTACTCTCCTTTTCTTTTTAAAACTTTAGTTTTCTTCATCTTCCTAATGTTAGGGAAATCAGGCATACTAAAGATGTACAGGAAAGACATAAAAATGAGTAGATATTTAGGGCTCTGGACACACCATTTACTCGAATCTTTAAAAAGCAGTACCTTTGGCATCCACTGTGCGCTAGCTGGGTCTTAGCCAGGCTGCTGTCGGATTAAACCCTCATATGCATCAGCTCGCAAAGCATGATGGGTGTGGCAGCAATAGTCTCAAATCGAGAACTGGTAGACTCTTCAGCCTCTGGAGCTGGCGACATCTCGTCTGTTTTCCAGCTCTGAGTGGAAAGTGCACAGCTGAGATGGGAAAAGACTGGGGGGGGGGCGTAGTTCAGCTGGCAGAGTGCTTGCTCCGTAAGCGTGAGGGCCTGAGTCTGATCTGCAGGACCTACGAAAAGAGACAGGTGTGGTGGGGGAGACAGGTGTGGAGGGGGAG